AAATTTTTCAATGGGGTTTTCCTATGACATATCTTGTCTGTGACATAGTTCATGGCATTCTATGACATTCGACTTCCCAAGAGGAATTTGGTTACTCACATAGCGTTACATAACTTTTCTGGGAATGGGAAGCTCATGGAAGGAAAATGTCCATATATAACAGGAGTCAATTACTTATCTTTGATGAAAAAGGAAGATTATATTATCATAAGATGTACAGAGAGACACTGCTCCTAAAAGTATAATGGATCACAGCAAGAAAGCACAACTTCCTCAGGGGCAGGCTGCATTTTGATGCACATTTGCTCATCATGGCTGAGTAAAGGCTTTAGTATTCATTGTAGAGATAGAAAATGGAGTTTAAGAGGTACTGCAATACCTATAAAGTAGATAAGACTTTGTCTGTTTTTTGTTTTGTTTTGTTTTGTTTTGTTTTATTAGAGAGAACACATGCCCGCACCGTGGTGGGAGATGGGCAGAGGGAGAGAGAATTTGAAGCAGATTCCGATGAGCATGGAGCCCAGTGTGGGGCTTGATCCCACAACCCTGAGATCATGACCTGAGCCAAAACCAAGAGTCGGATGCTTAACCAACTGAGCCACCCAGTTGCCCCTCCTAAAGCCTTTCTAAAGCAAAGTCCCTGTTCTGTTCCCATCTCAACAATTTTCCCTAAATAAATTAAGGATGTGTATATCTTCATTTCTCACACTTAACCCCAATTAGAGATTCCTTTGGGTAACTTTTAAATTGTCAATATTCCCATCAAATTCACATTTAAGTGCAAATGGCTTGAAAGACTGGCTCCATGCTAAGGCATGAAGTCATGTGGAGCTGAGACTTTGAGGAGGACCTATCTGAATGGTAGTTGGGGAAAGGGCAGCCATGGCCATTTAGAAAGGACGTCTGGAGGTGCCGAGACCCAGGCTTCCTTCGGTGTGTGCCTTGCATTGGACCTTGGAGCAGTTTGAAAAGCTGCAAACCTCCAGCCCCCGTCCGTCCTGGGCAGCATGTAGCGGGAGGTTTCCCAGTGCCGACCTCTCCCCTCCTCTCTGCTTTGCAATGCCTTGCAGCAGGCTGGGTCTTACCATTTCTAAAGCCAGCCTCTGTCCACATTGCCTGCTTCCATCTGGTTCCTCCTGATCTCAGCAAATCTACTTTGGAACATTCTGTCACACTAAGGTATATGCATGGGATGGCTACATTTAGCAGAATAAACTCCTTCAACCAAAGGAGTGAAGTTCCGACAAGGGGAATGTCTAGGACAGCCAAGTTCCGGCCAGGAATCCTTGTAATCTCTCTTGGCACAAGTATCAAGCAGTTTCAGAGGCTGAGGCTTGCTCTCGGCCCTGCTCCCATTTGCCGGCTTGCTCTCGGCCCTGCTCCCCTTTGCCGGCTTGCTCTCAGCTCTGCCCTCATTGTTACTGGCTCAGAACTACCTAGCGCTTCCTTTTTGCCCAAGGTTCACCCTGGCATCACAGAACCACAGAGAGTAGGAGCAGAAAGGAAGTGAATTTTGAGCGTTCACCTGGTTTAGGTGTCCCATTTCTCAGACCAGAAGACTGAGACCCAGAAAAGAAATACAGCTTTCCCAAAGTCATGTAGCAGTAGGTGCATGGTTTCAGAGACCTCCTGTTTCTGCCTTGCATTTGCTGTCCCTTCTGATCCTGTGCATACTTCCTGGGTTCCCTCCTGAGCTGCCTACTGTGGCATCCAGGGCAGAACCCTACTCTGTGGGTGGGAGTCGTGGATTCTAGCCAGATCTCTGTTCTGGACCAGCTGTGTCACCCTAGGGAAGACTCTGCTTCGCAGGCTGGGGCCTGCCCCTCTACGGAATGAGTGAGAAACTCTACCTTGCTTTTGGTGGAGGAATAGAGAAGCTATGTAAGTAAGGGTGTGTTGACACAGATTGGCACCCAGTAGGTGTGCAGTAGATACTTGCTGAATGGCGGGCCTAAGAGCATCCATTGCCTTTAGACCCCAGGTGCTGGCTGCTTGCAAATTGCCCTCTGCTTCCCAGCCACCCAGGACCAAGTTTCAAAATGGCTTCATTTCCCCCAGAGCCAGACACCCTCAAGAGACTGAACAGAAGATCAGGTTACAGCACAGGCAGGAGATTTCAGCCGGCAGTCCGATGTATTTTCATCAATTCAGGAAAACCACCCCAAGCTCTGAGGCTGTGCTGAGGGGAGGTGGAGGGGTGAGCAGCGGTGAGGCGTGCACACTGGATTTAGCTCTGCTCAGTCCTGACGGGAGAGCCACCGCCATCAAAGGCAGGGCGGCTCGGGCTATGATTTTGCCGCCTATATTGACCTTGCTGGTTTAATTTCGCCCTCTGCCTCTGAGTCGAAACCAATTTTCCTAAACTCCATCCTATTTTTGCAACCAGAAGGAGGGGGTGTGTGTGTGTGTGTCTGTGTGTGTCTGTCTGTGTCTGCATAAGTGTACACATGTGTGTGCACAATTATGAGTGCCTGAGTGTACATACATGTGTACGTGTGTGTGTGTTCGTTTCCTAGGGTTGCCATAACTGCCATAACAAAGTACCAGAAACTGGGTGGCTTGAACAACAGAAATGTACTATCTCACAGTACTTCTCTCCTGTATCTTCACACTTTTTTCTAGGTGTTTCTTTGCACCTAAGTCTCTTTTTATAAGGGCACTAGTATTGGATTAATGACCATGTAACTTGACTACCTCTTTAAGACCCTATCTCCAGATAAGGTCACATTTTGAGGTACTGTATGTTTGGACTTACACATATGAAGTTGGGTTTCAACCCATAACAGTGAGCGTGTGTGTGTGTGTGTAGTGAACTATAACATCTCAGACTCCAGTCAGAAACATGCCTACTAATTATGAGGTGCTTGGCTGGCTCAGTTGGTAGAGTATGAGACTCTTCGTCTTGGGGTTGTATGTTCGAGCCCCACGTTGGATGCAGAGATTACTTAAAAATAAAATCTTAAAAAAAAAAAAAAAGCCAGCCACTACTTAAATAATAGTACCTTTTTTTTTCTTTTTTAGTTTATTTATTTATTTTTTAAAGATTGTTTATTTATACTTTCGGTAATCTCTACATCCAACGTGGAGCTCCAACTCCCAACGCCAAGATCAAAAGTCACATGCTCCCCCGACAAAGCCAGCCAGGTGCCCCCTAGATAATAGTACTTTAAGAGCACTTTAAGAGCATATTGTTTTCTCTTTTGTGAACAGGGAAGATTAAAACATATATATGTGTGTGTGTGTGTGTGTGTGTGTGTATATGTATATGTATATATACCTCCTCATAGAAGCAGGGGAGCTGGTGTGATTATGTAGAAAGTCCTAGGTACCACTCTTGCCTCTCAGCTTGAAAACATCTCTTCATGGAAGGCCCTGTTTGTCACTCTCGAGCAGAGCAATGCCACCTTTGGTGTGTGATTTCCCCACCTCATGTTCTTTTAGACTGTTAAGTAGCATCTTGAAATGCCTCTGGCTATACTACAGAACATTCCAATTATTCCAAAGGGCACATAATTCAGAGTTTCTGTAGCACTCCCTGGTGACTTGGTATCACCAAGTTAGCCCTTGAGAAAACCCTGGATTTTCCTAAAAAAATGTCAGAATATTAAAAATGTCATTTAGATATTGGAAATAGTTGTCAAGTATAGTATACCTTTAGCTTCCTTTTCAAAAGGGCCTGCCTGGGCTCTATCGACTCCGATTATTCTTTCCTTGACTTGTATTCTCGGGAGGGTCCCAGGAGGTCAACTTTGCTGGCCAACCCGCAGACTGCAGGGCAGTCCTGCCACCAACTTTGGGCTGCTCGGCTGCTTCACCAGGAGGAACTGCTCCCAAACTGACCGTGAACTTCTGGCTGTGCGGGACCATGCCTGGCATTTCCCCTCCTCTCTCTGTGTACTGTAAATACCCATTCTCTCTGTCTTCTCCAGAATGAGTTCTTCATGGCCCTGCGGGGACCTGAATTCCGACTTAGTCAGCCGGACCCTGAGTTATGCAAAGTTTTTTCTAGGTCATCCCAAAGTTGAGGGCCAGGTGGGTGGAACCAGGGGGCAGTGTTGGGGGCTACTCTGAATACACCTGGGCAGGCTGACCTACATCAATTCCCTCATTAGCCTTAGCGGGTAGTGCTGGGGGTCTGATTCTGTGGCCGAGAGTGGGGGGTTTTTGTGACACTCGTGTCTACCCAAGGCACCTAGGGATCTGTTTTCTTGGTTGTTGCTGTTCTTTGGTGGCAGAGGATAGTGGTGAGCTCTGAGAAAGTGGGCTCACTTCCCCTGGACATTCCCTGAAGTTACAGCACTCATCCCAGACTTCAGATTCCTCTGTCCCACTTCAGCATGAGACATCATGTAACCCTTTAAACTATATCTTCCAAAGACCATTAGAGGACATAGAAAGTGTTTGTGAGATAATACGAAGTTAAAAAATGTTGGCTACAAAACTGCATGTACTGTCTGGTCTCCACACTATTAAATACATATTTCTACAAAGGAGACTAAGTGGAATGCAATAAAATAGGAACTGTTTTCCTCTGTGTGGAAGGAAGAGGAATGATTTTTATTTTCCAAGTTTTCAATGGTGAGCACTTATTACTTCATAGACACACATGCCCATAGATCTGTTAGATCTATCTCGACCATTTTACGGGATCTTCGGGATCTTTCAGATTTTTTGCTACCTCAGCATCACCAGGATATTATTAATTCCCTGCTTGCCCAAGGCCCATCCGTGACTTCCCATGGAGGCAGTGGTAACTGGTTCCTATCAACCACTGCGGAGCCCCAAGCCCAGGCCCTCTCTGAGCGCCTGGTGGGCCGAGCTCCCTGTGGACGGCCCTTGCCCTCCAGGCTGGGCGACTAGGGAGGGGCTGGGCCTCTTTAAAGGAGGTTAAAGTCCTTCTTTGTGTGAATGGCCTTTTAGGGAGCAGAGGGAGGGGCAGCTGTGACATCATAGTCTTCAGTCAGGAGGCTCGGAAGGAATTTGTCCAACTTGAGCCAGTGCGCAGGAATCTGTCTGGCAAAAGAGGCAGTTCTGACTGGGGACGTTTGAGACATACACTGTGGGCAGGGTAAGCTGAGTCTGCTGACCTCTCTGACTGTCCTTTCCCTTCTAATCTGAAAGGAGTGGGTTCCTTTCCCAGGCCAGTCTTGGTGGAGGGGGCCTCGGAGTGGGGACCGAGCAAGGCCGAGCTCTAGAGTCCTTTCCTGCCGGAGTGAGGGAGAGGGGGCAGCTGAGCTTTGAGTGGCGACTTGCTTCTCTTTGAAACCTCATCAAACTCCCGGCTTTCAAGTTAGAGGGCAAGGAGGAAGTGCAGCCCCAGCCATGCAGTGCACGCCAAGATTCACAAGTCCTCTGTGGCAGATGAGGCCGTGAAGACGGGGCGTGCGTGTGTCTGCACGCGCGCGTGTGTCTGTCCTTGTCCAGAACAGAAGCAAGTGACCCAGCGATTCTGGTAGCTGGTTTTCTAGTGATCGCTGTGTATTTAGTTAGTCCATAATGAGGCCGTGCTGTGGGCCCCGCCACATTCGTGGAGTGACTTGGGGTCTCATGGGAATGTGTGTGCCTGTCCCCTGTAGGAGCCAGGGGGGTGGGAAGAGAAGCTCATCAGCTCTGTTCCTACGTAGAGTGTCATCTGTGGACAAGGGGTTAATCTCAGAAGCATCTGGCGCTGTTTCTTCTTTGCTCCTGGCTCTCGGCCTCAACATTGTGGATTTGTGCTGGGTCCACAGTGGTGCTCAGCTTTTGCTCTCTGCCATTAGTGGTTGGCCAGGCAAGAACCCAAGATCCTGAACTATTTTAAAACCAAGAGGGACACAGCTGAGTTATAAAGAACTAAAGCTAGCCCTGTGTTTGCTTTCAGCAGAATTAGTTACCCTAGAAATTTCTGCCTGCTAGAGCAGCCAAAGTTCCCTCTGGGGCCTTGATCTTGGTTTATTCTGGAGGTGAGGACTGCCCTGTAAAAATCACCTCCTGGTGAAAAAGGCTTTTGGGGGAGAAGAGCATCTGAGGACTCCTTGACAGAGCATGGAGTTTGTTGCATTGAGGAGGAAGTGAGCCTTGACCTTGGAGCAGAAAGGAAGCCTGTCTCCTGAGTTAGGAGCAATCCTGAAGCCTCCCCTTCCATTCTCAGTCACTCCTGTAGGGAGGGGATCTCCACGCAGCTGAAAGAAGCAAGCCTTTCACCAGTGGCTATAGAAAAGGAAACGGCTTCCTCCCTGCCTCCAGCCCCCCTGCCTGCCGCATCCCGCCCCCCCATCTTCAGTTGCTTTCATGGAAAGCCCAAGTTATAAATGTGTTAATCAAACAACACCTTGACATTTTCCAGATGTGTAGCCTGACATCTGAGCCGGTCGGTGACTTTGCGGCTGGGTGAAGGGGATGCTATTAATAGGGCAGGCTGTGGTCCTGGAGAGACTCCATTATGTTATAAATGGACCACTTTCCTTGAACAGAAGCATGAGCCAAGACATCCTTTGTCCCCAACGAAGGGAGTTTCCAGAGTATTTTCATCTCCTCTTCAAGCCTGTATCTGTACCCTAAGCCAGAGAGAATAGCTTAGTAGTGATGCCTTGGCAGTTCTCAGAAAGAAAGGCTGGGCCTGCGGGAGCAGGAACATGTTTTTAGAGCTGTCCCAGTTGCATTTGGCCGTAATGCGTCATGGCAGGCGGTCCGAGAGCCGTTGTGAGTGTTCGCTCCCTTTATCAGGGGTCACAGCATTAACCCTGAGCCCGCCCGCTCTAATTAGCCTGCCACTGCCCAGGAGAGCTTAGGGGCTTTAAGTCTGGCCTGTTTCCATCAACCAGGAAGGGGTCCTTCTTGGGAAGTGGTGAGGCTTCTGGCTTCCCACAATCGACACAGGGCCCTGGTCCTCCAGGCCGGAAGGAGCTCTGTGAGGGGGCGGAAGACGAAAGGCTGCCTGGGCCTGGAATGTGGCCTGGGGTGATGGCCTCTCCCCTCCGCTTCCTGGCCCAGAGGCCTGAAGCCAAACCAAGGAAGGAAGCAAGGCGTCCTCAGACATTCCCATTCTCTGTTCCCTCACAGCGGTGGGTGGAAGGGGCCCACCCAGGGTCCCCGTACTTTCTCCGGCCAGCCCCGAGCCTGCCATCTTCAGCACGGAGGGCCCGAGGCGCTGCAGGCCGGCAGCTGAGGAACTCGGGTGCTCTCAGCTTTCTCCACAAACTCTTTCTAGCCAGCCCAGTTTGTGCTGTTGAACAGGGCTGGGATTTTCTTTCCACTTAGCACTTCCTCTGCCTGGTGCTTTTTGCTTTCTTTATGTGAACTGGAACTCTCTTCCTCCAAGGCCGTGCACTCCTTGCAGCTGAGTAGAAGCCACCTCAGAGCGCAGGGACCCCCCCCACCCCACCTCGTGGCCCCGGACCAGGGCTTGCCACTCTGTAGGTACTCAGGGCATACTTATCCTTGCACTTTGACCTCCCTCGGCCCCTGGGCTCCCCTCCCACACTACTGGGGTTCCCTCAGCCTGGGGAGTCCCTCTGCCCCAGATCTCCAGCCCAGAGCTCCACCCCGGTGCCTCCAAGTCTGATCAAGTTCAGGAGACTCATGTGGGCACCTTGCAGGTGTCTTGGCAGGCTCCCTTACCCGGGATGCACCCCCTCCTTCCATTTACCTTTGTGACAGAAACTACAGCCAGGAAGTGGAGTCCTGTAAGAAGCATTCTAGATGGTTCTACCACACGGACCACAGAACCAGTGCTCTGCTGTGACAGCGGTCGTGTCCTGGGTAATCAGAACTCGACTTAGGCGAGAGAGAGAAAGGGTAAGAAGGGAAACCGGAGATGCTCTCTGGTTGCACAGCTATGCGGAAGTTTATTTTATAGCCACGCCTCTCTGTTCCTAGGCCAAGAGTGAGTTTGTATTTTTGGTGGAACTTAAAAATAACTGGATTAAAGGATCAGGTCACCTAGTATCTGGGGAAGAGTGTTTCTAATTTGACTATCATGGCCTTTGTAGGAAGTAAGCTGGGTTATTCAGAGTAGAAAGCTAGTGGTGCAGCGGGCGCCTGAGGTGTGAGTGATTTGGGTCACACTGTGCATTTAGGCTAGGAGCCCGGGAGGTCACAGCTGGTAACAGGCGGTGTCAAGGGGTAACAGCCTGAGGGTGGTGGTGAAGCTGTGAACACAACCAGCCTTGAAAGCGGAGTGGAAGCTTCAGCTTCTTGCTTGCCCTTGTAAAAAAGGATACCTACCTGGTGTCCCCCTGGGCCCAGACAGATCGGCTAAGGAAAACGTACCTCTTGCAAGTTCTTTCTGCTCACCATGTGCCCAGCCACTGACCCAGGTACTGTGAGAAGAAAGAGCACACTGCCATCCATCACCCAGCGGGGCAGGTGTCAGGACCCTGATGTGTTTTCTGTGCAAATTAAAAACGGTCTTCTAGAATCTCACCTGTGCTGTTGGGAAGGAGTTGCAGCTTTAATGTGTGGTGTCCATTGCAATGCCTGGGATGTGAGATCTTAATCTTTTGCCCCTGGATTGTTGCTGGAGGAAGCAGAGGACTCTCCTTCAGAGGCCAGCCAGCTCGAAAGGTAAAATTCCCAGACTGAGCAGGAAGTCAGTACCCTCATTTCTAACTGGAGGGCCCTATGGGTAGAGCAGAAGGTAGGAAGCGAAAACTCAGTCTCCAGGAAGTCTGTCTCTGTTCTGTTCTGGATAAAGATGGGAGAGGGGTCTCTGACTTCTAGAGCCAAATTATGAGTCTCACATCACTTCTAGAGATACAAGTGTGCAAAATGTTGACCAGAAAGCCAAGTAAATACTCTTTTAATAAAAACTATCCACCCTTCTTAACCTATATCCCTAGGCATTTTGGAAGCCTGCTGTCACTGAGAATACTTTTTGAGGTATGGGGAGAGAATTTGAAGAACTGGCCTTCAAATCCTGGCTGTGCCACTTCCTAGTCAGGTGATCTTGGGAAAAATCAGTTTCTCTAAACCTCACGTTCTAAAGTTCTAAAACAAAAGTAGAAAACTCTGCCTTTCTGGCACGCCAAAGGGCCCTGTTACCAGTATCAGCTGGGAGCATGTATAAATGTGCATTGTGAACACAGTGTGTCTGCAGTGAAAGGGGGGGTGGTTCTTGACTGTCCATTCAACTGCATCCTCAGATTTTGACTTTTAGAGACAGGAGACAATTATTTTATGCATTTACTCTGTTTATTGCAGCAGCAAATGCATCTTCCAGTTGTACTCAGCTTCAGCTAAAATTAACTTTTGAGGACGTGGGGTAGGAAAAGATTAGGGAGGTTAGGTCTGACTTTTAGCCTTGCTGGGCCTTTCCCCTCTAAATGCCTCATGTTGATTTCCTCTCAAAATCAAAGCTTCATCATCACCTCCCCCCCACTCCTCCTCCAAGAAAGTCAACCAGCTCCCAGAGAGAATTTAATATTGGTCATTTACACTTCAGTGTAAAATAGCTTAATAATAAGGAACATTTGCATTAAACACTTTGCAGTTTACATAGTACTTTTTAAAAACATTATTTGAGAGAGAGAGAGCGCGTGCACGCACACATACACACACACACACACACACACATACACGAGGTGGGGGGTGGGCAGAGGGAGAGAGAGAATCTCAAGCAGACTCCCTGCCAAGCACGGAGCCCAACACAGGCTTGATCTCACAGCCCTGAGATCATGACCTGAGCCAAAATCAAGTGGATGATTAGCTGACTGAGCCACTCACACCCCACTATGTAGTACTTTTAAACACATTATCTAATCGAATTCCTAAAACAGATTTGAAAGATCTTGGTATGAGTCCTGCTTACAAAGGAGTTCTATTCTTCCAAGGAGAGTCCCATGATTGTCTTGCATAGGGTCTGGCAGAACTTTCCCAGGAGACACGGGCCCCCTTGTTGTAAATTAACCCATATAATTTGCTTTGCATAACTATTAAACACGTTTTTGTAAATAGTGGCAGCTTGAGACACAACCTGGCTACCAGGTTATAATAAAAGCAGGTCTTGGACCAAGTTCTGGCCCTCATACAGATATTTATTAAATAAACCTTTGTAAAAGTAGGCATAAAACCTACTGTCTTTAACTTCAAAGAAACCTCAGCTCCGGAAGATTCTAGATGCTCCCAACCTCACTTTGCATGAAGATAGATGTGGCAGTTTTAAAAAGGCAGGATTCCCTTACTGTATAGTAGTTGTTTAACAACCAAAGTCCTCTGAATCAAAGGCTGCAGAAAGGGCTGTTTGGTTTTCGGGCTCCAAGCACCATCCCTAAGGGTATACAAGCCATGGTGCTCACTCTGTCCTAAATCCTATTCAGGGAAGGCCAGAGAACATCTCTAATCCGCAAATTTGAACACCACCAATTTCACTGATTTCTAACGTTTATTATGCTAATTGACAAGCCACTAATTTCACTGATGAAAACCCATTTCTCACCTTAATTATGCCAATTAGCAAAGCCTCAGGGGGCCGTGGGAGTTAAAGAGCACTAACTGACCCAGGAAGGAAGCCACCTACAGAGCCTGGAATTTCTGATTAGATCCTGGTTGACCACTCTTGGAGTATATATTCCCAGTTAGGACGGCTGTCTGCCCCTGAATAGAATTTAAACTAATTCAGACACACAGAGCCGTATTATATTGTCTCTGTCCACATATTTTAAAGTAAATAGTAGACATCCTGACTGGCTATTAGCTATTCCAGGAAGCCAGTAGGTTGGCAGGTAATATGTGTCATTCTGTTAGGACTCCACCTGGAGGGTTAGCAGGGGGAATCCAAGGATTCCCCTTGGGTCACTTAGCACCCTTTCAAAATCCAGTTTGGTGGCGTTTTTTGTTTTTTTCTTTTAAGTAAGCTCTACGCCCAATGTGGGGCTTGAACTCAGGACCCCAGGCCCCAAGATCAAGAGTCGTACGCTCTACATACTGAGCCAGCCAGGCAACACTGATGGTTCATTTGTATCTTTTTTTTTTTTTTTTGCATTGGGGCATGGTTTATTTCAGAAAGGACTTTCCAGTTCATTAAATGAGTGTGCATTTTACCTGAATCAGGAATCAGGTTCATCTTATCTGAAGCATGGAGAAAATTCTAGTCTTTCTAATCTTCAAAGGGAGCAATGAGCATTAGTTGGTTTAAGCAAAACATCATTTAATGACACCAAGCCCAAGATTCCTGCCAAATCCGTGCTGTGGACTTTCCAGCCCACTTCCATTTACCTGGTGTACTTACTGGTGGTTTTGATTGCATCAGGCTGTCTTGCAGGAAGGTAAATTCATCCTGTTGAGAATAGAACTCAGGAATTTGCTCTTTTGTTACAATTGTTGCCTAACTTTGTTTACAAAAACTCAGGACCTCTGATGCATGATGGTGAATCAGTAATGCACCATTATCTCTTTCATTACTTCTACCCTGATTAGAGTGTAGAGCTGCTACTCCCTGAAGTAGATGGATCGGAGTATCAAGAAAAATTTCCTGAATTTGTGGAAAGAAGTGGGAGGAGCCCCCTTGTAAGTAACAGGAAGCAGAGAGAGACATTTCCTGTTTACACCCTCCAGTGTCTCGATTTTTTAAACAAATGTATTGGAACGGAATCGTCTCAAATTACACTGGGACTCCAAACTCTGACTTTTATCCAATAATTAGCATTTTTAAAATCTCGGTTTGACACATAGAAGGCATTCAAGGAATGAGACTCATATCTGACTCAAAGAGCTAATGGTAGTTTTTTTTGGACATGGCAAAAATGTATTGTCAGATGCTGTTCTCAGACTTTTAAAAATTTTGAATTGGAACACTTGCTACTTCAGAAAATATGCCTTGGAAAGACTTGGTAGAATTTTTAAGTTCTAAAAGAGAAAAAAGGCTGATAGGGCATCTGCTTGTCCATCGCCCAACACTTGACCTGAAGCACCCAGGAGAAAGAAACAAGGTGCTCATGGGCCGTGCTGTGGAGGCAGACTCAGGACCTCCTGTCTCTGTGATTAGCAACAGGAGATCACTGTAGGCAAGTTTTTCACTCCTCCTGACTAGAGTAAATAAACTCCAAAATAGACTTACGGGTTCCTAGGAAGTCCAATTTTTGTTAAGAAAAAAGTGTTGTCTCCTGGAGCTTATGGTTGCTGCTAATTTCATTATCACCCTACAAAACAAGCTTCCTGCGTGTTTAATGAATGGATGAATGCCTAAATGAAGTATAGAATTAATTACTTGCCTTTTAGCTTCCTTTACTGTTACATTGCCCTCTTTCCTCTTATGTCAACTGAAGTATTTTGTTTCAGGAAGGCAGTGATTTTCAACCATAATTCACTTCCAACAGCTTCCTACCATCTTCTTACCTTTTTTCCCCAAACCAAAAAGGATATAAGAAAAGCTCTACTTATGCCCATAAAGAATGTTAGCAGTAAGTCATTGGCCAAATGAAGCCAGGGTGGGAGGGTCACAGATAATCTGACTCTCACGGTAGCAGTGCCTTGTATCTCTTTTTGTTGGTCTGTTTATTCCAGTAATAGCTTTCCATGGAGTGGGCTAATTTTGACCTAGGTTTATTTGAAATTGAATGGCAGCCTATAAGTTTCAGGCATTCGAATTTTCTGTAATTCTTAATGACCTGGAAGTCACTGGTAATTGCCTTACCAAAAGGAAGTCTAGTTAATGTTTTTAAAAGGCAGTAACAACGTCTTTGACATGCCTCTAGAGTTCATTCTAAAGATAAAAGAACACTAGTTAATGATGGTAAAAAAAATAAAGATATTAGTGTTATAAATATTAATGGTATTAAAAAGCACCAGACTTGGACAAAGACCAGAGCTAGACTGGAAGGTCATCCAAGACCAGAAGGTGTTGAAAAAGGAATAGTTGTTATTGTTGCCTATGACTGAAGAAGTAACATATATTACCTGATTGGATTCAGTCTAGAGGGGAATGTAAACAATGCAGAGTGAAGGAAACCTCCAGTTCCTGGAGAACCTTCTAGTTCATGGATAACCATGAGAATTTTTCAGCATTCTGACAGCAGTGCAGAGCACATAGGGTGCATTCCCATGTTGTTCTAGGTCTCATGAACAAATCCGTAATTATGCACCTTCCTTGGAGGGATTCTGAAATGAATCCCCTGAGAATCATCCTAAGGTGGTGTTTTAACATTATGTTCTAAGATTTTAAAATCCTTTACTATGGACACAAATGAAAACAATACCATCTTGCAGTTTTGCATGGAAGTATGTCAATAATACGAAGCACACTATGGACTTGCGAGAGGAAGACAAACTTGACCAAGGTGTCTGTGAAATCCTTGAGGAACAGAATTAACCTCACAATTTTTTTTCAAAGGTTTTATTTATTTTTTGACAGAGAGAGAGAGACAGCAAGAGAGGGAACACAAGCAGGGGGAGTGGGAGAGGGAGAAGCAGGCTTCCCGCGGAGCAGGAAGCCCGATGCGGGGCTCGATCTCAGGACCCTGGGATCACGACCCAAGCCGAAGGCAGACGATTAACAACTGAGCCACCCAGGCGCCCCTAAACTTCACAATTTACCACTGAATTATCTGAGATAAACCAGAGTCCTTGGGTATGAAAAAAGAGATCATCTTAGAATTTGAAAATTAATTTTACTAATGCCAAATAACAAAATTACATGGGATTGGTAATTGGTGGGAAAGTAGGATTTATTTCAAAACATTAAGAAGATGCGGTTTTTCTTTTTCAACAGTAAGACTGGAACTATCACATAGAGAGCATTTTAGGAACCGGAGAGGAGCCACTGGTCACTAACTTTTCAAAGCAACACTCACTCCTTAACCTAAGGAGTATTGTTTTGATGTAGTCCCAGAGAACAGAACTGTGCAGTCAGTGGCTTTGGTTATGGTGTTTATAATGCACATGCTGAATTAAGAGCCATAGCGATGGGGCACTGTAGCTGTTAAGGGGCCTTGGAAGGAATCTACTGTTTTCCAGTATTTTATTTTGGAAAAATTTTCCAAGAAGTTTCAAGTCTCCAGAATAACTGCATTACATCTGGCAGAGAATCATGTTTTCAAGAAGAATTGCTCATGCAAAGGGACCATCTTATTATAGTTGGGGACACACAAATAGTCCTATTACATTTCTGCAATAGTAGTAGTAATTCTGGGATAATTGCTATATAATCTCTTCTACTTTAGAAGATATTTGAACAGTGTCTTCAGATGATCTGAATCTTAATTTACATTGAAATTTAAAAATGGGATTAGCATTTATGGAAAGTTCTCCAGACACCCAGTAAACAAAGCAGAATCTGTAACGTGGAGAGGTTTAGGTACGACTCACCACAGCAAAATGAATTACGTGAAGAATTACCAGAAGGGAAATCTCAGTTCCGAAGAATTTGTCATTGTTTCAGTTTTCCTTCCAGTGAGTTACCAGCTAATTTCTCAGGGTTCACCTCCATAAGAGATTTAGTATCTAACTCTGACTTTGGTTGTCTCTTTATTCCAGAAGCCTCCCCAGCTTTCTGAGGATGATATCCGGCTAAAAAACCAGCGAGACAACTGCAGTGCCAACCCCTTGGAGCCTGCAACCAGCTCCCTTCCCCCAGATCACAAAAACATGGAAATTGAGGTCTCTGTTGCAGAATGTAAAAGTGTTCCTGGAATCACCTGTACCCCACATTCCATGGACCACTCCTCCCCTTTCTACTCACCCCCCCACAATGGCCCCCTCGGTGATCACCATGAAGCTCTGGATAAGGATGTGGCCAGAGAGATCCGCTATCTAGACGAGGTGCTGGAGGCCAGCTGCTGTGATTCTGCTGTGGACGGAACTTACAACGGTACATCGTCCCCGGAGCCAGGCGCAGCCATCGTGGGGGGTGGCCCAAGCTCACCAGGCCACGCAGCGGTCCAGCCGGACCCCCCGGAAAGGGCAGCTGATAGACAGGCCCCTCCTCACACTGAGCTCAGTACCAGCTACTCTGACGCCATGGCAGAGGGCGAAAAAGCCAATGGCCACTCCCCCGCCCAGCCCCGAGATCTGCTGGGGGACAGCCTGCAGGCCCCCGCGAGCCCCAGCTCCTCCACCAGCTCGCGGTGCTCGGGCCGCGATGGGGAGCTCACGCTGACCACGCTGAAGAAGGCGGCCAAGTTTGAGCTGCGTGCCTTCCACGAGGACAAGAAGCCCTCCAAGCTCTTTGAGGACGACGAGAATGAGAAGGAACAGTACTGTGTCAGGAAAGTGAGGCCTTCGGAAGAGATGCTGGAGCTGGAAAAGGAAAGGAGAGAGCTCATCCGGAGTCAGGCGGTGAAAAAGAATCCTGGCATTGCGGCAAAATGGTGGAATCCTCCCCAGGCCAAAACCACAGAGGAGCAGCTGGACGAGGAGCCTCTGGAGTCGCACAAGAAATACAAGGAGCGCAAGGAGAGAAGAGCGCAGCGGGAGCCTGGGCCAACGCCGCGGCAGCCCGTCCCCGCGCAGCTGTGCGCGGCCCCTGCCGCCCCGAGCGAGCACGCCGGCGCGGGCGAGCACGCAAAGGAGGACATCGTCACCGAGCAGATAGACTTCTCCGCGGCGCGCAAACAGTTCCAGCTCATGGAGAGTTCCGGGCCAACAGTGGCCAAGGGCCAGAGTACACCCAGGCTCTTCTCTATCAAGCCCTTTTACAGGCCTCTAGGGTCAGTCAACTCAGACAAGCCACCGACCATCTCGAGACCAGCTTCCATCGGGGGGCCTCCAGAAGACGGGGGTGCATCGGCAGCCAAGGGGCAGAAAGCGAGCTGTGCCCTGGAGAGCCAGTCTTCAGGGGGAAGCCAGGGTAGCACAGCTCCTCAGGGGAAGGAAGGGCCCTACAGTGAGCCTTCCAAACGCGGGCCCTTATCCAAACTGTGGGCGGAAGACGGGGAGTTTACCAGTGCCCGGGCCGTCCTCACTGTGGTCAAGGATGACGACCCTGGGATCTTGGATCAGTTTTCCAAGTCAGTCAATGTCTCTCTGACCCAAGAGGAGCTTGACTCTGGTTTGGATGAATTGTCAGTGAGGTCCCAGGATACCACTGTCCTGGAGACCCTGTCCAATGATTTTAGCATGGACAACATCAGTGACAGCGGGGCATCCAATGAGACCACCAACGCCCTCCAGGAAAACTCACTGGCCGATTTTTCTCTGCCCCAGACTCCACAAACTGACAACCCTTCCGAGGGCCGGGGAGAAGGCGTCTCCAAGTCATTTAGTGATCACGGTTTCTATTCCCCTTCGTCCACACTGGGAGACTCGCCCTCGGTTGATGACCCCTTGGAATATCAGGCTGGTCTCCTGGTGCAGAGTGCCATTCAACAAGCTATAGCCGAGCAAGTGGATAGAGCCGTGTCCGAAACCAGCCAGGGTGGGATAGAGCAGCAGGGACCTGGAGCAACTCTAGAGGAAGCTGGAACTGGGGCTCCCGGCTCAGAGAAGCCTCAGAGCACGTTTGAGCCACCCCAGGTGTCCTCTCCTGTTCAGGAGAAAAGGGAGGTGTTACCAAAGATTCTGCCTGCCGAAGACAGGGCACTCAGGGAAAGGGGGCCCTCCCAGCCGCCGCCCGCAGTGCCGCCCAGTGGCCCGGTAAACATGGAGGAGACCAGACCGGAAGGGAGCTATTTCAGCAAGTACTCGGAGGCAGCTGAGCTGAGAAGCACAGCCTCGCTCCTGGCCACTCAGGAGTCCGATGTGATGGTTGGGCCCTTCAAGCTGAGGTCCAGGAAGCAGCGGACTTTGTCCATGATCGAGGAAGAGATCCGAGCAGCCCAGGAAAGGGAAGAGGAGCTGAAGAGGCAGAGACAAGTCTTGCAGAGTACCCAGAGCCCCAGGGCAAAGAACGCCCCGTCGCTGCCCTCCCGAACATCATGCTACAAAACCGCGCCAGGTAAGCCAAGTGCGCGCCAGAGACAGATGCTGTGGAGAGAAAGGGTGACTCCAGCTTACCTGAGTCTTTGTGGAGCCTCCTCTGTGTGGCTAGGATTAGTGGCGGGGCGGGGGGTGGGGGGGGCACTGACACGAGGGTTTTCGCGTCCGTCCAGGGACAGGCAACTGAAGCCCGAATGTCCCCTAGAAGAACCCTGGGCCTGGATGGTGTGCTGTTTCCCTGAGGGTACAATTGCTTCTTCCTCGTTGTTCTGCTCTGGGTTTGCTTTAGTAGAGAATTATTCTCTTCTATTTGAAAGGGCTGCCTCTGGCTGAGGGAGGGGCCGTGTATGGCGTGGACCCTGGCAGAGTGAGCCTATGTGTGGACCGGCTTGGACCCTTAGTATCTGTGGTTAAATCAAACCCATCTGATTTGGGGGATGTGCTCTGCTAACCCCTTCTAAATGTGAAGTCCCTTTCTAACAATTGCAGTCATGACCTGGTGCAGATTGATCGGTACCGAAGATGTTTTTGTCCCTCTTTTGTATGATTGGATTTGTCTTCCTTTTAGTCATCACAATGCAATTGCTTTGGAATCAGGGGTGGTCTCATTCATTCTTGTCCTATGACACATTCGGAGAAATTGAGTTACTCTGTATAAAGGCAGGTCTTTAGTCCCTTCCCATTGCCTGGGCAGTCCCTTTCTTGAATGCTTTGTATAAATGGTTGATGTTAATTATGGTGGTAATTAATGCTGCTACCATTATGGATTAACAGTGGGACCAGTCATTTTCATTTCCCATTTGGATATGATGGCAGTCGGAGTGCCACACATCCTAATGTGGAGAAGTGCTGCTCGAAGTGTGGTCTGGGCTAGTCTGTGGACTGTTTGTTCCAGGTCCACACTGAGAATCAGTATAGACATTGAGAGCAAGCATTTGACAGTTCTTGTTGCAATTTGATATTGTCCTCAAATCCAAGTGCGGAATTTTGTGTTCTTTAAAAGTATTGGTTCATGACAGACTGAGGGGAAAACTTCTTTCACTGGAGACTATCTAAAAAGCATTATCCTAATATATAATTGCTGGCATTTGACTTGGTTTACCCAGATCTTAATCCCATCTTGACACTTGGCTTCCATCAAATCTACAGTGACTCAGGGTAACTCTTTTGATTATAAATATTTAGATTTGAAATAATCCCAACCTAAAGAGAAGTTCTCAGGTATAGTACAAACATCTTTTACTCTGAACCATTTGAGAGTAAATTGCCAACATGATGCTCCATCATGCCCAATTTTGCGGAATGTCCCTCAGTTTGGGTTTGTCAATGCTTTCACGTGAGTACATTTAGGTTATGCATCTTTGGTAGGAATACCACAAAAATGATGCTATATTCTTCTCACTATATCCAATCAGGTGTCCCTTACAGGGACAGATACTGACTTTTTTCACATGATATTAATTTTGATCACTTGTTTGAGGGAGTGTCTGACAGGCTTCTACAGTCAAATTACTGTGTCCTTTGTAAGTAATAAATATTCTCTGGGGAGTTACTTTGGTACTATGTAATCTTTATCCCATTCCTCATCAAACTTTATTCATTTATCTATTTATGTCAGTGTGGTCTTGTGGATTCCTATTATATTCAATGGGTTAGAATCCATTTCTATTATTTTTATTCTTAATTTGTTTAGATATAGCTCATGGGAGACCTTTCAAGCTAACTTTGGCATCCTTTTGACATGTCCTCATTATTCTCTGGGCATGTCCTCACTTTCTGACACCACAAGATGTTCCAGTCTCATCTCATACTTTCCTAACCCTGAAATCAGCCATTTCTTCAAAGAGCACTAATTCCTTTTAGTGGAGAATGGAATTTAGAAACCAAAATCTGGGAGCTTGGTGTGCTCATTGTTATTGGATCGTCACTGCTCCCAGGCGCTCTCAACAAACAGAATTAGAGAATATACACAGATTCCATCTGTCTGTCTATCTATCCACCTACCTACCTACCTATCTTGAAAACCATGAGCTTACCTTGATACCTCTAATTCTAATCTAATACCACAGGGTTCATATTCTCTCCATATTTGTAACCTCCTTCTTGACAACAAAATACCTGGTTCCTACTACCTTCAATGTATTTATTATTTGATCAATCCCTTCCTCACCTTATGTAACTAATCTCCTATTTTCCTTACCCATCTTGGGCTCCAATACCATGTGCTAGATCACCACACTTCCCCACCCTGCTGTGGCTCCAGCACACCACTCTGGGTCACTGTGACTCCTCCCATCCCCACTGCAGACACCATCTTGTTGAGCCCCTCCCCAATGGCCTTTGGACTAAATTGTTCATGAAAAAAAGAAAGGAGAAAGAGGAAAAGCATGGTGACTTTCTTGATATGATTTTTAATTCCTGTAGGTCACAGGGCAATGGCCAGCTGGGTGAGGCAAAGAAAACTCTCAAGGGCATTTTGTGTGTGTGTGTGCTTTATAGAGACTGGTTGGCTTTCCCCAAAGATTCTTAGTTGTCAAGTTCACTTTAAATTCTTGTGGTCTAGCTTGGCACAGAGATGCCAGTGAGCATTCTATATGGTATCCTAGGAAAAGCTTTCATACCACTTGAATTCAGCCCAGTCTAAGGAGGCTACTTGACAAGTTAATGACTCTAAAGGGCCTGCATAAGAACTCAAAGTCTAGTGGCGGAAGGTTCTTCAGGCATCTTAGCAACTTCTGCTCACATGGAAGGTAGATACCATGGCTCTCCTACCAGTTATAGCTGGCTCTACATGCTTAAGCCTCCCTTTACATTATTTCATTATAAAACCTTCCTTAAAGTGCACATGCTCAGTGAGTATTTTCAGTTTTCTTTACTCTACCTCTTAATTGAAACTCCCACTGTATTGCTCCCCTCCTTTATTTCCAGCATGTGAACAAAAATAAAACATTTCAACACTTTCCCCTGTTCCCTGACCTGCTGTGGTCTCTCGGGCTTCCCCACCAGGCTTAAAATAAGACAGGGTTTTGTGTTTGCCCTCAGCATCCCAGCAGCCCAGGCCTGATTTTCCCAGCACTTCCCTCTATGCTGATGCTAATACCCTCCCCCATACCTCCCCCCAGAGGATTGATTCTGCATGGTAATTCATCCAGGCAAGTCTGTGTACTGCAATGGTCTAACTGTTACACTGAACATGGTCACGATAATGATGCTTGTGCACCTCATTCCTTCATGTTTATCTCTAGAACATTTAAAGTAGGTGGCAGGGCTTCCCAGAATTACAACATGGATCGAAAAAAAAAACCTGAATACAAAATGTAGTTCTCTTTCTATCCATGCCTGGAAATGTTTGGTGTATTGCTTGGCTAGCCAGCCTCCAAGTTTGTAATCAGGGAGGAGGCTGACACATCACTCTGAGCAGCAAAACTGGATGATTCATAGCCGGGGTTGAAATTGCTGGCTCCAGCTTTGGTTTTGTGAATGGAGATGATGCTAAGTTCCTACTGCAATACTCCACATCTCCCACTGGAAGAGGGGATTCAGCCTGTTTGTTGCATGACTCAGCTTGGTGATTCGATATTAGGTGATGAAAAATATAATTTTTAACTTCTCCTCTGGTGGAGATCATGCTGGAAACATGCTGGAATCCTAAAACCTAAGGGAAGTAGAATCCACTAAGAGCCAAGATGTCATAGGGAAACACAAATCTGCTGATTCTCCCAACCATTCCCCAGGTGTTGAAAAGACAACTTGTTTTTGCTTTTAGTTTCCTTGCCTTTCAAAGACGAAGAAGATATCTTTAAAAGGATACTGTCATTCTCAAAAGCAAGGTATTAGGAAAATTATTTTGGAAATTTTGTCTTGTTGGCTCTTATGTGATTTTAAAGGAAGAAGTTTCACTTAAATAGGGTCTGTGTGACTTTTGCTCATACAGAGGTGAGCAAGGTAGATGCAGTTCCTGCCCTCGGGGAACTTACAGTTCAATGAGAGAAACAACATCAGACAAAGATGGCAATTTCATGGCAGAGAAGCATGAAAACTTATAGGAGCCCAGATCAAAGAAGATCACCTCATTGGGGGTATATGTGAAGTCTTCCTTTCTTAGGAAACTACCATCCAACTTTTGAACTGAAGGAGTAGAAGTTGGGTTTGGGCGTGGGGGGCAATTGTTTCTTGAGAAGGAAGGACACCTAAAGAGGCCCAAAAGGAAGAGAGAACTTGGTATGTTTGAGGTACTTAAATTAGGTTAGGGTGGGTTAAAGGAAGACATTTAAAACAAAATGAAAGAAAGTTGGTTTGGAGCCAGACAATGAAGAGCTGCTTTAATGGGTCCATTCCACCAGCTTTTATTGAGCTCTTCCTGTGTACAAGAACTTCTGAAGGCATGTTGCCATCTTGACAAAGGCCGTGTGCCTTGTGAGAGACCATATTCCCAAGAGTGAACACATGTGTGCCTTCTGTTGATAGTACTCAAAAATAGAGAAGAAAGGAAGCATTCCAACAGGTTCCCTAGCCTAACTTGAAGGTGCAACCTGCAACACTGCTGTAGACACCCTTGAGGATCAAGCTTGGGAGGGAAACTCAAACTTTTTATTGAAGTTATGATTTAGATATTTTCAAATGTCTTTTCATATTAAAGCTGTTGACAGACTGTTCTCACTTTAGTGCTTATTGTCTATTATTAGACATCCTGGTTTCACTTCCAAGTTCCAGGCATGACAGAGAAACCCAGCTAGTTAGGTGATGATTACTTTAGTTTTTAAAAATAGTTTCCGTTTTCATGCCAGATGTTGAACTGACCTACCAAGTCAGATAGTTTGCCCAGTGAGACGTGATGGGGAGTGGTAAAGCAGAAGGTGTGGATATTGAGTTCCATAACTTGGAGCGTCTGTACATGTCTTTTAATATGTGGAAAGATGTGATAGCTATAAAGGTAAAATTTCCAAGGAGTTTCAACTTCTACCGTCAGTTTGAATTAAGATTGCGCACGAGGTGACCATTACGTTATTATAAAGATTA